TGTCTGAATGCCTCCAAGGGCTTGGGATACTTCTCACAAGAGCAAGGATTTGCTAAGACTGCCTTAGCCAACACTAGCTCTCAGGCTGTGCCTATTCTCCCCAGGCAGCCGTGCTGGGCACTGGCTGGGCAGCTCTCAGAGATCCTTCGGCACAACACAGGCTACAGAACTGAGGCTCTTCCCATTTGGCGCTGGTTTCACTGTGCTCATCCTGAACGTGGGGGGGCAGCTTCTCACTGGCAAGGACATTATGGCAGGGGGCACCCAGATAGGCACCCACCAGCCTTTTGGGGGAGTAGGGACGGGGGTCACATTTTTGGTGGCACAGGTAGCAAATGGATATTTAGATGGGAAGGGGCCTGGCTTCAAAGGATCCACCCTTCACTACAATAGGTGGCTCCTTCCAGTCCGCCCTGTCCTGTCCGGGATCTTGCTCTCCTGAGACTTCGTGCCTGCCGTCACAAAGCAAACTGTTCTCATGGTGACCTTGGCCATGTCTTTCAAGGTCAGCCAGCAGACCCCGCTACCTCTCTTCCCTTGTACACACCGTTACCAGTATTTAGTGCCAGTCATAAAACTGTACATGCAACCCAGGTCCCCTCACCTGGACACGTGTTAACTGCTTGAGGGCTCTCATTAACTGTCTGAGTAACCCCAGTAACCGCACATAACTGTGCACGCTAATCACACACATTTTTGCCCCTCAGTGTGAACCCTCATTACTAGTGCTAAGCCCCAGGCTGGCAGGCACTTGCCAGCCCTGCCCTCCGGTTCCTGCAGGCAGGCAGGCTGCTCCTCTGGGTTCTTCTGGCACAGGCCAGATGCATCTGCTCTTCAGCAATACCAGTGCTTTCCTCTCTCGGCAGGTTGAACTCCTGGGCAGAATGAAGGCTATCAAAGGACTGAGAAGACCAAGCAAGGGTACAGGCACTAGGCCAAAGGCAACATGATGTCAACTGCTTATAGAGCTGCTGCACTGAGCCCTCCCATGGTGCAGTAAAGACCTCGACTACCCTGTGGTCAGCACAAGGGAGACCCGACAGGAGATTTAGATCTAAACATTCCCAGAGCTAGAAAAGGGCACAGCTGCAAGGGTTTGCTTTGGGCCCGTCTCTAGCTGCCTATCACCTCAGACTTTGGTAAAGGAGCAGAGGCAGTGTTTTGTGGAAGAGCTGGGGTGGTAACAGCACGGCCTGGCAGCAGCAAACTGTCCCTGCACATGATGCACAATGGCCTACCAGACCTTTCACACTGTGTGCACCCAGCAGCTGGTGTTCTAGTTACACAGCTAATCTCAATCCATGGAGCAAGAGCTCAGCTGGGACAGGACCATGGACAATAAGCCAGGATATCACAGGGCACCCACTAACTAAGTCACCTGACCAGCAAGGTACATTTGACTTTCTCCTGCTCCTCCTTGAGGTTGGTTACCTCTCTGCTCCCATCCACATTTCATCCTTTCCTTTCCAAGGCAGTGGCGGGCTGGCAGCAGTTTCCAGAGGGGAGTGGGGCACTGGGAAATTCAGCAGAAAGGGGCAGGACCCGAGGCAGAGCAGGAGCGGGTAACAATGGACACAGGGATACATATAAATATAAACCAAGAACTTCAGAAGGGCACCGACCCCCCGTTCCAGAGCACAGGCTGATCTCGGGTGGGGCAGGGGGCAGAGGGAAGCTTTCTGGGCTCTATGCCCCCTAACCAGCCATGGGTTTCTTCCTCTGCAGGAACTGGTACTAGCCATGGGCAGAGGCAGGAGGTCCGATCCAATCCAGCTAGTCCTTGGAGTGGGGGCAATGGAGACTGTGGACACAGGACTAGGACAGCTAAACACCTCCAGGGAAATGTGCTGTCATAGCCTGGGGCCATGTCCAGAAAGCTGAGTAGACAACAGGCAGCCTCAGGTCTCAGCAGAGCCACCCACTGAGGGGTCTGGGCTAGTCTCTCCGATGCCCTTAGCTCAAGCATGAGGGCTGTGATGACAGAGCCCCCCGGCAGATGAGAATATAGCAGTGGAGCAGCCTGTGCTCACCCTCTTACCCCCATTCCTGACCATGAATGCTTTGCCCATCACATCGCAAGCCTGCAGAATCCCACCAGCTTCCCCTGGAGCCCCCAAGCCAAATTTAACCCTGGCAGAAGCCGATGCGTCTCCCCTGAATTAGTGCTGGCTCCCGTCAGCCCTGTCCCTCAGGGCTGGGGAGGGGTGGGGGCTGCTTGACAGTGCTGTAAGCACCGCTGCATGAGGCTCTGTTGACAGAGCGGCCAAAGCCCAAAGCCTGAAGCCACGGCCTCTTTCTCCCTTGGAGGGTGGGGCAGCCGCCTCACCAGCTTATCAAATTTGGCCATGTCTGTAAAGCCCTCACTTCCTTTTCACCAAAAAAGATCAAAACTGGGTAACTGGCTCCCAGAGCAAATGCCTCTGAGCCTCCCTCATGTGTAAACAGCATTTCCAAGTGTTGATACAATGCAGGCTGAAGCCCAGGCACAAGCATCCCAGGCATTCCCAGGGCGCACATGACCCCAGAGCAGGGGCAGCACTGTGCCTTGGGCAGCGGAGGAAGGGGAGCCGTGGGCACACACAGCTCAGAGAGCCCCAAGGGCCTTGGGATGAGGGGATTCTTCCCACACGGTAGTGGGGCGGACCATGTGAATGACTCCTCCTAAACTAGTCTAGGTCAGGACAGGAGGTCAGGATCATGGGGTGGAGCCTCCAGAGGCTGCCCAGAGCCCCACAAGCACTGAGGGTTCGAGAGACTCAGAGCATCCTCTTGTCTAAGCCGTCATTGCCCAAGTGACCTTTCCGCAACTGCTCCCCTTATCTCTCATCAAGACATAGCAATTGCTGACACCCATAGTCTGGAAACAGGCAGGGTGCTGGCTGGGAACCAGGGATGGGCAGTGACAGCTGCTATCCTGGGGACTGAAGACTGCTCAAGATCCAGATTTTGAAGCCCTCAGAGTCCAGGAGAGTTGCTGTTCAGGCCTCTGGCTCAGCCCGTTGCAGCTACAAAGGCTGGCTCTGTTGGAGTTCAAACACTCTCCCTTCCCCAGACTCCAGCAGCATTTGAATACTGGGCCTAACAGTTCCCCTGGCTTTTCGCATCCTGCAACAGTTTGGCATGAGGCACAGAAGCTGCCCTAGAGTGACAATGCCCGTTTCCAGCAGACCTAGGTAACCAGGGTGCTCCTGTGCAGTGCAGGAAGACAGGTTGGAGACGAAGCCCCATGCCCGGTCAGTGGTGACACACTGCAGTCTGTGTCCCCTCCTTTCCAGCAGGACTTTGAAACAGAGGCTGATAGACATTGATGACCATGCTCACGGCCAGTTGGGAGTAGCTGGTGCCCTCAACTGGTTGGTATTGCTGCTGCTCCATTTAGTGCCATGCCTCCTGTACAGCACCGGGCAAGAGAGGAGCAGCACCGGTGCTTCTTGTGAGTTGGGCAAGTTCCACCATCTTTGGTGGTTTCCCTAAAGCCCCAGCTCCTGGAATCGCATGAACACGAGAATCTCTGATACATAGACACAAAGCTTTCATGCTGGCAGAGAACCAGCCAGACAGCACAGCCCGAACACAGCAAGCCTGAAGGGAAAGGGGAACCCAGTTTTGTTGCAGGCAGTTGGAGGAGGCCTGGCATTTTGAAAGCTTGGAGTGGGCCCTGCAGGTAGACTGAGGAGCAGGCTCAGAGCCCTTGGGGTTTGCATGCAGGGACGAGTAGCCCCTGCTCTGCCTGGGTGCATTTGTCGCTGTGGTGTTGCTGGGATGAGAAGAGGAGGAATGAAGGAGACCCCCTTCTACCCCCCAGCACAGCCCGCTGTCCAACCATTTGGCTTTAGGGTAGCACCACCCTGTGGCAATGCTCTGACATGACAGCTCCCTGCATGCACCAGCAGCCAGAGCCCCTGTGGGGAGCAGGGCCCTGCTATAGAGAAAGAACGACAGCCCCCGTGCCAGGGCAGGTCCAGCCAGGAGCCCTTGGGCACCCCAGGTCCTTGTCTAGGATTAGCAGCAAGGCTCTGCCACAGATACAACCCTCAGCACCACACAGCAAGCCCTTCTCCATGAAAAAACAGCTGAGAGCCCCTCTAGTCCTCTCCAACAAGGGCCACAAAATCCTGATGCACAAAATCCAGCCTCCTCCCACACCAACTCTTGCCTGCACCCATCTCCAGCAACAGGAAGGGATGTGATTCTGGAGCTGTCAAGCCCGTACATGACATGGGGTGCATGTGTGGCAAGAACAGGCCAGGGGCACCGTGCAAGGGGACAAAGTCAGCTCCAAAGCCAAGTGGGTAGCTGGCTCCACAACCTCTTTAAAGCTAGCCCAGCCCATCTGCCTAAAGCTGCTGCCATGAGCTGTGTCAACCACCATCCTCCCTGTGACCGATCTAGGGACTGGTCTGAAAAGCCCTTGGAGCCTTTGAAGAAGAGGAGTGAGGGGAAGCCACAAATGCATATGCTGGGAGCAGCCAGGAATGGCACCACATGGGAGGCTTGCACTTCTCTGCATGGGAAGAGCCCAGGGCTGCGACTTTCTACCGACAGAAGAGCCACTGCAGCCTGAGAGAGCACGCTGGCCCTGCTCACAGCAGAGAAATCCAGCTGGCCCAACAAGCATCAGTCCTCTAGGGCTGTTACTGGGAGGCACACCAGTGCTGATTCCCAGGCACCAGGGTCCCTCCCCCTCCCCCATTCTTCTGACCTGGCCAAGCCACTGCAAGATGAGAATTTCTGAGCTGTAGCATCAGCTCAGCTGGACTCAAGTCCTCAACCTAGAGCAAAGAGAGACTCACTGTTCCCTTCCAGCCTCCAAGGAAGAGTGGTGGCTATGGGGGGTGGGAAATCAGCACCCAGAGCCAGGCCTCCAGCTCAGAGCGCCTGCTCCCAGTCCTGCATCCAATCCCTCCACCCACCGCCTCCCAAAGTCCAGCCAGGCCCCTCCACGCAGCCTGACGCCTGTCTCCAGAGGAAGTGGCCACCCAAGGAGCTCCCAGGGGACTCTGCTCACGGCCTGTGTCTTTGCCGAGACCGCAGGTGCTAAAGCAAACAGCCACGAACTCTCGCTGCCAGCAAGGTGCGTGGGGGTCACGGGGCAGCCACCTCTACACGCAACCCAAGACAACACTGGCCTTTGTTCCCTCTGTCAACACCCCAGCTGGCACTTGGGGGAAGCTCATTGTGCTGCCAGACACACCTCCTAGGCCATGCAGGCGCTGGGGGCTGGGGCTTTCCTGTTTTAATCTCTGGCTCATCCTGTTCCCTTCACACAGCACGGGCGTCTCTGGGCTGCCCTGCGATGACGGACTGGACTCCAAGCCTGGTAGGTGCCTGGGCTGCTTACTCTGGGGGCTTTTATTATTTACTCTGTATACTGGCAGCCAGTTGGGTTTGTTTGCTTTGGAGCTTGCCTGCCCAAGTTACTATTCCCCTAGCCCACCTGGGACAGACCAGCCATGGCCCTGGGGATGAGCAAGAGAGAGAATGGCTTGTGCTTCAGAGACCTGCTTCCCTCCCCACCGTGCCCCATAATAGGGATCCTTTCACCCAGCACTGAAAGGCAGCTGCCTCTGGGGTGGGGCCCGACCAGACGGCACGCAGCACCGCTTCACAAGACTGCAGGGCAAGCAGCATGATCCCCGTAGCTAACGGCAGCCAGAACAGTAGGGACCACCACTAGGAACAATTTTTACTGCGAGGAAGCCAGCCTGGCCTGTCAGGAGGCAGAGAAGATGCTCCTGAAGGGAGGCAGTGGGGTGGACACTGCCAGCAGCCCCAGAGCCCTGAGCTGTAACTGGAAGGTAGAGGTGGATGGCTAAGGAGCTCAGCACTGGGGCACGCTAGACAGAAGAGAGAGCACTCTGGGCATGGAGCATGCCACAGACAGGGTTGGTACCTCTGTGACCCAGCTCCCAGGGGCTCTGGCCACTGCCTAGCAGCCCCTCTGCCACTGGAGGGAACAGGCAAAAGAAGGCATTTGTCCATCTCCTCAGCATGAGGGGCACTGCTAGGAGGAGGGGCAGCTTCAGGGAACATTTACATTGTTTTATATTTCTGCCCCTTGCCCCAGAAGGTCCCTGTGCTCTGCATGCTCCATACCTGTATGGATTCCCTTCACCCACATTTCAGAGGCGGTGGCATCTCCAGACAAACAGGCCACCCCACAGAGCCCAAGAGGGAGTGGGGAGGGAAAGGACATATCAGTCATAGCAGAAACCCTGCTTTTATGATGGCTCTCACATCCACACGTCATACATGTGAGGGAGGAATAAGGACGACACGTATGTCCTCCCCATAAGACGGCACCCAGATCACCTTCCCTGGGAGAGGGGAGGGGTCAACC